TAGCTATATTTAAATAAAACTAGCGATTTTTTGGAGATTTTTTATTTTTTACTTGGCCACACCCTGCCGTAGGCCACGAGGCTTAATTCAGCTTCTTATTCGCAGTTTATTGACGCTAGCCGTTCCACCTTAAAAACGCGACGCTTCCGCATTTATTAACTTCTTATTCACGCTCTATTTAGGGACCGTCTCTATTTGTGCTCTTTTTCAGAAACGAACAATAAACCATTTTAAAATTTTCCAGTGCACTTGGCTGTAACCACGCACATTTCAGACATTTTTACTGTAGCATTTTTAAGATATGGACCCATAGGTTTGGCAGATATGACAATACAGAAACAGGAGAACATTGCATTACTGGCCCAGTTGGAGGCGCTATATCTCAGTTGCCTTTGAGGGTGCGTTAGAATTTCCACTGAAGCCTTATTCCCAGGGTCCTTGACTGTTACCAAGCACATTTTCAGACATTTTTACTGTAGCATTTTGAAGTTATGAACCCATAAGTTTGGCAGATATGACCATACAATAACAGGAGAAACTGCATTATTGTCCCAATTGGAGGCGCTATATCTCAGTTGCCTTTAAGGGTGCGTTAAAATTTCCACTGAAACCTAATTCCCAGTGTCCTTGACTGGAAACATGCACGATTTCAGACATTTTTACTGTAGCATTTTGAAGTTATGAACCCATAAGTTTGGCAGATATCACAATACAATAACAGGAGAAATTGCATTATTGGCCTAATTGGTGGCGCTATATCTCAGCTTCCTTTGAGGGTGCGTTAAAAGTTCCATTGTGGTCATATTCCCAGTGCACTTGACCGTAACCACGCACACTTTCAGACATTCTTACTGTAGCGTTTCTAAGTTATTGACCCACAAACTTGCTTGATATGACAATACAGTAACTGGAGAACATTGCATTATTGGCCCAATTGGAGGAACTATATCTCAGCTGCGTTTGAGGGTGTGTTAAAATTTCCACTGAAACCTTATTCCCAGGGTCCTTGACTGTTACCAAGCACATTTTCAGACATTTTTACTATAGCATTTTTAAGATATGGTCCCATAAGTTTGGCAAATATGACAAAACAGTAACAGGAGAACATTGCATTACTGGCCCAGTTGGAGGCGCTATATCTAAGTTGCCTTTAAGGGTGCGTTAAAATTTCCACTGAAACCTAATTCCCAGTGTCCTTGACTGGTACCATGCCCGATTTCAAACATTTTTACGGTAGCATTTTTAAGATATGGACCCATGAATTTGGCAGATATGACTATACAATAAGAGAACATTGCATTACTGGCCCAGTTAAAGGCACTATATCTCAGTTGCCTTTGAGGGTGCCTTAAAAGTTCCACTGGGGCCTTATTCCCAAGGTTCTTGCCCGTTACCATGCACATTTCCGGACATTTTTACTGTAGCATTTTGAAGTTATGGACCCATACATTTGGCAGATATGACAATACAGTAACAGGAGAACATTGCATTACAGGCCCAATTGGTGGCGCTATATCTCAGCTTCCTTTGAGGGTGCGTTAAAAGTTCCAATGGGGCCTTATTTCCAGGACCCTTGACTGTGACCATGCACATTTTCTGATATTTTTACTGTAGCATTTTGAAGTTACGGACCCATACATTTGGCAGATATGACAATACAATAACAGGAGAAACTGCATTATTGGCCCAATTGGTGGCACTATATCTCAGCTTCCTTTGAGGTTGCGTCAAAATTTCTACTGTGGTCTTATTTCCAAGGCACCTGACTGTCACCATGCAAATTTGCAGATATTTTTACTGTAGCATTTTGAAGTTATGGACCCATACATTTGGCAGATATGACAATACAATAACAGGAGAAACTGCATTATTGGCCCAATTGGTGGCACTATATCTCAGCTTCCTTTGAGGGTGCGTTAAAAGTTCCACTGACGTCATATTCCCAAGGCATTTGACTGTCACCATGCAAATTTGCAGACATTTTTACTGTAGCATTTTGAAGTTATGGACCCATAAATTAGGCTTATATGACAATACAATAAGAGAAATTGCATTATTGGCCA